GTTATATCAGGTCATCGGGAGCATTTGAGTATGCGTTTTGTGGGTTAATTCCCTACATATTGTTCTTTTTTTTAATTTACCACGAACATAGTGTTTTGAAAACTATTTACAAGAATATTGTGTTTTTTTATATGTTTAAAGCGCTAAAGTCTTAGACTCAGGCGCTACCGCTAGATGCTTTTTTAACAAAAAAACACAGCGGCGCCGCCCCAGACTGGGGCTTTGTCGCTTTTAAGAAGGTAAAAGCGTCGGCGCCCCAGACTGGGGCTTTGTCGCTGCCATTTTTTTCCACTCTAGCACCACCCATCACCATATATACTGCACCTTTCCTTCGGTTCTTCATCACCAAAAAACTGAAAGAAGTTCTAAAAGAAGCTCTGGTGTTGCTGTCTGGTTGCTGGGAAGATGGCTAATAACATGTAAGAGTCGTATTTATTTTTTTCATGTATTCATCATAATGATTTTGTCCAGTTAGTAATTAGTGAGTTTGTTTTTTATGTAGTGGTTTTAGAAGATTTGAACTAGCTGTTCGGTGGCGATCAGAGAAAGTAGAAGACAATTTGGGTGTCCATTTTGTTGGTGGTGTAAGTTTCCAGATGACTATTCCATCCAGGGTGAACTATCAGAAACTTTGTGATCATCTAATTCGGAGAATACGGATTAGAGATGAAACAGTACAAGATAGTGTCGTGATTACAGGTTTCACCTACTGTCTTCCAGAATGGCAGAATGGTGTTTTATTTCATTATGCAATGCCTATTGTCGATGATGATAGCTTAAATGTGCTTTGGAATTTTATGGCACAAAATCCTTATTGTTTGGGTGCTGAGATACATGCTGAGCTCAGTGAGGATCGGGGTGGAGAGGAAGACGATGATGATGGTGATGACATTGGAGCATGCCATCCGATCATGATTATGATGACGGTGATGACGGAGATGAGGAAGACAATGATGAGGAGGAGGAGGACGACGACGACGGGGAGGGAGGAGAACAACCTAATTATCCTCCATATTTTTACTTGCAGGGTAATGAAGAGGACGAGGAATTATCATATGTTGATTCATATGGCGTAATTCCAGGGTCTACTGTTGGTGGTTTTGATGGAAAATTCTACAAGGGGCAAATATTTCACTCGAAACAAGCTGCACAGGTGGCGATTAAACACTATGCACTACAACGCAACTTTCAGTATAACGTGGTGGAGTCGTCACCTTCAATGTGGAAGATCAGATGTTTGATGCACGAGGACAAATGTCCTTGGATGGTGCGGTTTGGATGTCGAGATGTGGGAGGCGATTGGAGCGTGAGAAAGGTCGAGTTGGTGCATACTTGTAGCAGTACGACTCAACCAACGGATCATCGCCATCTTAATGTCGACGTGATATCTGAGGCCGTCAAACACTTGGTACGTGCCCAACCAAATCTGAGTGTTCTAACTGTTCAGGCCGAGTTGAAAGATAAGTTTAATATGCAAGTTACTTACAAGAAGGTTTGGTATGGGAAACAAAGAGCATTGGAGAAGTTGCATGGAAATTGGGAAGAATCCTATGATTTTTTGCAAACATTCTTGCGGGTGGTCAAGAGAAAAATGCCAACATCGGTGATTGATTGGGTAAGAGTTCCTTCGACTCAACCAGGTCATTCAATATTTCAGCGAGTATTCTGGGCTTATGGACCTTGTATAGATGGATTCAATAATTGTCCAGGCGTTATGGTTGTTGATGGAACATTTCTACTGGGAAGTATAAAGGAGTGCTACTCATGGCGAGCTCATTTGATGGCCGGAAGAAGATTTTTCCAATTGCATTTGCCATAGTGGAGAGTGAGAATACTGATAGTTGGCCATGGTTCATAAGTCATGTTCAGGGTTTGACTGATCGAAATGATGTATGCATCATCTCAGATAGACATGCATGACTCTATGAAGCCATGAATAACATCGGAAGAGGTTGGGAGTGGAGGTGGTGCATGCGACACTATGCAAGCAATTTGCAAAGGAAGACTAAAAGCAGAATTATGTATAATCAACTATTTCGAGTCGTTAAGCTTTCTTCATTTAATTTTGTTATTTGTTTTCATGTAATTTTGTCATGAATTTATCTAACCCATGTGGTGGTTTATTTTGTTAGCAGGAGAAAAACGGTTGGAGAAGTTTGATCGTCAAGTTGAGCAATTTAAGAAGGTGGCCGCTGATAGAAATATTTCATGTGATAACTGGGTGGATCAACATCAGATTCGTTGGAGTTTAGCACATGATAACTACAATGGTGGGCGTCGTTGGTCTATCCTGACATCCAACATGGCAGAAAGCGTCAATGGTATTTTCAAAGGTATTCGTGCACTTCCTATAGCTTCTCTTGTTCAACATACCTATTGGCGATTGGTGGAGAAATTCGATAAGTACAGGTTGGAGACAGGAGCAGAAATTAGAAGTGGTCCTTCACAGTACTCCACCAAGTGCGAAGAGCTGATGAAGCCGTGGTCACAAATGGCAGTTGGACATTCTGTGACAGCTCTTGATCGACGTCAAGGCATCTATGTAGTTCAGACTCCTCCCAACAATTTCAACATGACGGGGTCAAACACACTCACAGTGCACTTTGACGACCCCAACCGGACGGGATTTTGCACCTGTGGTAAATTTCAAGGAAATAAAATTCCTTGCTCTCATGCCATTGCAGCTTGCAACCGAATGGAGGCTAATGCGTATAGGTTTGTCAACGATGTCTACAAGCTGGAAACAGTGATGGCTTGTTATGGGACAAGTTTCGCACCTCTTGGTGAACCTAAGGGTTGGAAGAAGCATAATGGTCCTATTCTCCATCCTAATGTGCACATGATTAGGAAGCCGGGGAGGCCAAGATCAACACGAATTCACAACGAGATGGATTGGTCAAGGGAGGGTTCATCACAGCAAGTGTGTAGCAACTGTAACCAAGCGGGACATAATGCATCAACCTGTGGTGGCCAAGCAAGTGGGAGAGGGAGCAACCGAAGAGGGAGTGGTGGCCAACGAAGTGCGAGAGGTGGTAGAAGAGGAGGAAATAGAGGGAATAGACGTGGCTGAGAAGTTTGTTCGAATGTAGCAGTTGTTTTTTTTTCTTTCGATTTAGCTCATGTAGTGGTGATGTATGAGGAAACCGCTCCCACGTCCAGATCATCAGCAAGGCGGACCATCCACCAAAGTCACCACCCAGTGAAGAAGATGCTGTCATCTGCAGCGCCGATCTACCCATCTCACGGTACAAGTAGGATAGAAACGCTGCTCCCCAAGCAAACCTCCCCGCTCTGCGCCAATCCTCCACCAAAAGTAGGTACTGCAGGTGAACTAAACCTCCAGACCGATCGGAGAACAAGACACCTCCCATCAGAGACAGCGCATACGCTCTAGCAAACTGCTCTGTCGTCTGGGGTGATGCAGAAAGCGGTAGCTCATCGAAAGTCTCTCTGAGCCTAGCAATCCGGATGACGCCGCCACCAAGATCAGTAGGAGCCACTCCTAACAGTCGAAGACGCATAGCCGACCAGTCCTCGTCTAATTTGTCTACTACGACGGCATCACCGTCGATCGTTAGACCGGTCAGTGTCGCAACGTCCTCTAGGGTGATCGTCACCTCACCGAACGGCATGTGGAATGTCGATGTCTCGGGTCGCCAACGCTCTACGAGCGTAGTAATCAAACCCGGATCACCGGTAAGAGGGGCTAGTGGCAGAACACTAGACAAGCCGGCATCGACGAGATACGGCAGGTAAAGTGGATTGTATCGAACTAAATTGCCCGTATGACGGATGTGGTAAGGTCGATCGCCAGCCTATAATTAATGCACAAAACTATATTAATTCAATTCCTTCACAGTACTCGTAACTTAATCTAATTCTATTCCTAATTTAATTTAATTTAATTCTATTCGTAATTTAATTCTATTCTATTCTATTCTATTATATTATTCAGCTAATAAAAAATTATAGAAATAGTTTGAAAAAAAAATTACCTCGTTTGCCCAAACTGCGTCAATCCGATGGTGACCATGCCCCAAAGAAGTTCCGGATCCATCGGAGCAGTATCGGCTGTCGCAGGTGGTGGTCTCATCGAACAAGGATCGATAAGCCAAGGAACTGGAAAAAAAATTTGGACATAAAAAAAATGGTTGCCGCCGGCGAGAAGAACCCGGCCGAACTTACTCCTGTAGCGTTCGTTGCCGCCGGGCGCCTGCTGCTGCTCGTCGTCGGACATGGCTGCGCCGCCGCTCTAGTTGGGGCGCTCTTTGTTTTGGCGTCGGCGCTGGGTTGGAGGAGGTGAGGGAGGGCCGTCGCTATCTTTTCCCTTCAACACTCAATTTTCTGAGTCTCGGGCGCCGTCGCTGCCTTCCCTCCATCAAAACACAATATTCTTGTAAATAGTTTTCAAAACACTATATTCATGGCAAATTAAAAAAAACAATATGAAGGGAATTAACCCGCGTTTTGTTTGCCTACTTAGTTTGTCACTGAAAAGGAAATTATAAAAAAAAAATATTGATCGAGAGAAGGAGAACGAGATTGGAGTCAAAACTGTGGCAGATGGGTATGCATTGGTCATTGGTGTGATATAAACACACACCTTCTGGACCCATTAGCATATATATAGCTCGACTGTGCATGGAAGAAGGGAACTTTTAGGGGTGATGATTATTCTAACCCCATCGTATTTTGGACACGACTATCAAATCACATGATAAGAGATTGAGGCAGAATCCAAGATGGCAATCATCATTACTCATAACCCACAGCTTTGAAAATTGAAATGACTACTCGATCGATGTCCTCAAATTACTATTACTATTTCTATCTTCCCTGTGCCTCCGCAGAACTTACATCATTTTCACAGAAACGAACTATTTTGGGATATGGATTTGGCAAACCAAGTGAAACGTAGAAACAGTCAACGTTTCCATCAAGCAAGTGCAACTACGACTCTAAGACCCAAGTACGTAGGAGTTGTTTGGGGCTGTGGACAGTGACGTAGCCAGACTTTATGTAGATTGGGGTCCTAAAAAAATTAACGATGAAAAGCTAAAAAAAATTACAAGATCGATAAATGAAACACATAATTTAAGGTTTTACTAATATGATACATTTGTTTGTTTCCACAATGAACCACGACGTGATTTCATATTTTGAAAACACTGTACAACACATTCAGGGTCTACACTATTGAGCACATCCTTTTCTATATACCCTACCAAGCAATCATTCAACCATTCATCACTTATTCGATTCCGAAACTTGTTCTTGATGTAGGTCATAGCTGAGAATGATCTCTCCACACTAGCAGTTGCAACAGGCAAAATAAGTATCAGCTTGATAAGCAAATAAACTAAAGGATAATAGCCATGCTTATCTGTTTCCACCAGCTTTATGGCCAACTCATCTATTCCTTTCAAGCCTTTGAACCTCTCATCCTTTTGCACATCCGAGATAAATGAATCCAATTGAACTCGAAGAGAGTTGGTCTCTTGGGAACTGAATTCGTTGGGATAAAAGCTAGCAAGATGAACAACCTTCTCCAGATCAAAAAAAGCAAATGACTTGTAGGGGCTTAAGCAAGCCATACACGACAGCAACTGAGAATTAGCCTCATTAAATCGGCTATTGAGCTCTTGCAATTGCATATCTATAACTGTGTAGAAGAAGTCAACTTGATAATAATGTAGATTTGTAACTTGTTGACCCCTTCTTCTTGATCTTCCAGGAGGAACATACTGATCATTCATGTTAGGAACATTAATACCTTCTTGAGCACAAAATGAAACCACTGAAGCAAGTAGAGAATCCCATTTGTCGTCCCTCATAAGTTGCAACCTGTGCTTTGCTACACCAACAAGGTGCATTGCATTAACAATATCTTGATCTTTTTTCTGCAATGCTAAAGATAGCTCATTGGTGATTCCTAGAACTTGAATCATCAACTTCAACATAAATGCAAACTCAAAAGTGTCAAGCTGTTTGAGCATGCGAATTGCTTCACCTTTTGCTTCACCATTTCCATCACACTGAACATCATCCAAAGACGCAACTACAGCAGAATACATGAACTCCAAATTAACAAGTGTCCCAAAATGAGATCCCCAACGAGTGTCACAAGGTCGCTTCAGGCTTGTTTCTTGATTCAACCCCCTCCCAGATTCTAGTTCACCATATGATAAGGCCCTTGCAACTTTGGCTAATTGAGCATTTCGAACAAACTCTAATCGTTTGCAAGATCCACAAACCAAAGTAATCAAGCTACTTACAGCACCAAAGAAGAGACTAATATCTCCATGATTTTTAGCAACCGCCACAAGTGTTAATTGAAGTTGATGGGCAAAACAATGCACATAATATGCAGAAGAATTCTCATCCAAAATCAAAGCTTTCAGCCCATTGAGTTGCCCACTCATGTTACTAGCCCCATCATAACCCTGCCCCCTTAGCTTTGATAAACTCAACCCATGTTTTACAAGCAATGACTCAACTCCATTCTTCAATGTCAAAGCTCTTGTATCTGCCACATGAGAAATGCCTAAAAACCTCTCTACAACATATCCACTTCCATCAACATAACGTATAACTACAGCCATTTGCTCTTTAATTGACACATCACGAGCCTCGTCTACTAATATGGCAAAATAATCATCTCCAAGATCTCTAAGGATTTCTTTAGTTACTTCAATAGATAATGCACGAACAATATCCTTTTGAATATCTGGAGAAGTGAGTTGCAGATTTCTTGGAGCATTTTCCAACACAACTCTATGTATTATTTCTCTACCACGAGCATGGAATTCCAAAATCTCAAGAAAGTTACCTCAGTTATCCGAGTCCTCCGATTCATCATGCCCACGAAGTGCTAATCCATTGCGTATGAGAAACGTGATGCAATCAATTGACGCCTCCAAACGAGTTCTATATTCACTCTTGTTTTGCTCAGATTGTTTACATAAAGCAGCTGAAATGCTTTGAGACTGTTTCATCAAGGCTTCATACTTCCTCACAGAATCATTATGCACACTATTAACAGCTCCAACATGAACATCCAGTCTATACTTCTTATTCTAACATGAAAAACCATCACCAATAAAAGATCCACCCCCACCTTTCTTGGGTACCTCGTGCTTGAATAGGTAACATGGTAGACAATATATTGCATCTCTTGCAATGCTATATTCTAACCATTTCTTATGAGAAGCAAACCAACTAGCATAAAATCTTCTTTTCTTCCCACCAATACGTTTATAAGGGAAAGAATGTCCTTTAGGTTGGCAAGGACCTTTCAGAATGTAAGCTCTTCTCACTTCATCTTGAGCATTAGGATGATAACTTGAAATTTTTGGTCTCAAACCAGGATCAGCTATTAAAGCATTCACATCAAACTCCACATGTTGAGTTCCAAAGGAAGGGTTACTTGGTTGTACTTGAACTGTTTGATTCACCAATAAAGGTTGTTGTGCTTGTGACTGTGACCTTGCATGGGAAATTGTCTCTTGTTGCTGACTTACACCAGATTCATGACATTCAACATCACTTGGTATAGTAATCTTCGACTTCTTTAATAATGGAAAGTATCTCTCCATCTAATAACATTCAACCAGTAAAGATGGATTAAGAAAAGGGAATAATTAATCTAACCAAAGAAACTCAACTTGTTTAATGGAAAGTTATTATAGTCATATACTTGTTCCCAATAAAGAACATTGAATCGTATGCTTGCTTATAATAATAATCTAATCACTATCCCACTGTGATTAAAGAACTCAAATCCCCTAAGGGGTCGTTTGGAAAATATGAGTTTAAATCTATAGATTTTCAACAATCTAAAGATTCTAACTCTTCGGATTGTTGAAAATAGATTTTAAAATGTTTATTGTTTGGTAACTGTGATTGTTAACATTCAATGAAAATAAAAAAATTATTTTTATATTAAATAACGTGTTTATCTTTAATAAAAAATTTGAGTGGTTCGAGAAATATTATAAACTTTGTTAGTAAATATATTTAATATGATAAATAAATAAAAGAAAGAGAAAAGGTAGGAGGAAAAAAAATCTCAAGAATCAAGATACATAATCTCTCTGATTATGAGAGATTTGATATCCATAGATTTTAGAGATTTGAAATCTCTAAAGCTAAAATCCACAATACAAAAAGCAACAAAAAAACATAACTTTCTACAGAATCTACCGATTCAATGAATCCACGACCTAAATCCCGTTCTCCAAACGAGCCCTAAATTGTATTAAAATCCCAATTGAAAAATGAAACCCCACAATACAGAAGATGATTATAAAGCATATAGAAAAGCCAAAGAGAAGGAAACGAAAAGAATTGACTTCACTGTATGAAAAACCTCCACATAAACTCCAAAAGCCAAAATAGAAATTTGATAAATGAATAAAATCAGGGCATATGAAACTAATTAATCAATGGACAGAATTGCGGCTTATACCTTTCTTGCTCTCCGAGCTTGCTCTGAATTTGGAGGAATTTTCAATTTAGGGTTTGTGTATCCGACAAGCCATCTTAGCGGAAACACAATTCCAACCTTATTTGATCAACTGGAGATTGGCAAAGTCCGACAACGAATTAGACGTGAGTCGCGTCTGTTAACTGTAGGGAAGTAAGCGGTGGGAAGATGGAATCAAATTGATAGTTGAACTTAGATTTGCTGAGGAATCAAGCTAATATAAGTTATTAGTTATTAACTACTTAACTTACCAGTGGTCTGTGCTCGAGAGGCTGAGAAGAGCAGAGGAATGAGCGATGGCCGATGACAACAGAGATTCGAGAAGCAGCGTTGGAAACTTTAGGGAGACGAAGGGGTGAAGTGAAGTCAATTCTTTCTTTTGGACTTTTTGTGAGAAAAGAGATGGAAAGATACAATTACGGTGAATGGGAATTAGCAGAGGCTCTTCTTGGATGCAATGCAGAAATAGCTTGGCAATGGGGTCCTAATTTAAAAGCCCACATAAAAGCCCATATTTTTCATGTATATTGTGATCCTTTTAATTCCCAAGCGGGGTCCCTGGACCCCAGTCCACTGACCTTTGCTCCGCCGCTGGCTGTGGAGTAGCTTGAATTTTGCAAATCTGAGGACGAGTGTTTTCTTGGCTTGAAAACATAGATGGAATAGATAAAATTTACACGTTTGTCTTTTTATCAAAACGATTACTACTAAACATGGTTCACACTTTTTTGAACAAAGTGCAAACAAGGGTGTTCGATGTTCTTGATGATCTACGAGACATATCTAAATTGCATCAATTCTGCTCCTATAAAGGTTCAGTGAGAGCTCTGAAACTACAACTATGGCTATGACTACATTTGAAGAGGAAAATATAAAAGGATAAAGCTTGACAATAGGTTGTCTTGTGTGATTTTGGTCAACACTCTCTTTGTCATCTTCAGCTCCTATTTATAGCCACCATAAATAATTGTCTCGAGAAATTGCTCTGGTGACATGAAGTCACGGTTACACTCTCAAATGCTCCGATTATGTCCTGACATTGGTAGTAGTCCCCTCTTCAGTCTTGCCCCCCTCATCTTGGGACTTCACTCCCTGCTCTTGGTATCTCCTCCGTAGCTTTGCTTGTCTATAGAGAAATAGGACTAAGACCTGAAGGCAGACCACCTGCCACATGAGTGGGGTACTCGAATCACATGGGTCACAATGGAAAAAATAATTAACCTATCATTGGTCGAATTTGGCCAACCTTCTTTACACTTGGCCAAATTTCGCCCAATAACAGTGCACCATAGGACCCCTATCACACCATGGGGGCTATATTGGTGACCACCCATTGGTCATACCATGGGGGCAGTATGGTGATCACCTCCTCAGCATATCATGGGGATTGCAGTATGGTGGTCACCCCCTCGGCACGTCATGGGGGCAAATCCGAACGGGTCGGAAGAAGATACACATGTCCCACTTGTATGTGAGCAACTGGCCGGGTCGCCCACGAGTTAGCATGGCACGACACGGTTAGCGCACGGCACGGGCACGAAATTATGGCACAGCCTGGCATGAGCACGAATAATTTATGGGCCGTTCTGGACCTAAATTTCATGGGCATGGACACGAGACGGGCGCGAGCACGGGCACGACACGGTTTGTAAATGAGCTGTGTCGTGCCTAGGGGTGGAAATCGGTACGGTATCGGTGTCCCAATACCAAATACCGAAATCCCGAATATCGAATTACACCCTAAAGTCAATCCCAATCTCAATCCCTAAATAATTTCGGTATCTCAATCCCAATCCCTAAATATTTCGGTATCCCAATCGGTACTTCGGTATCCCAATCGGTATTATCGAAATACAAAATTAATTACCTTTGCAATTAATAATTAAATATATAAATTTGGTTTTATTGTTGAATTTAGGGGGGAAAGACTAAGCAAAGAGTCTTGAATTAGGATATTATTAAGGAGAATGGAGGAGAGGAGACGTCTGAAGTTCTTGTCATTATTAATCGTTAATTTGACGAATTCGAGGTTGAGAGACGACTATTGTTAGTGATGGAATGATCTATGTATAATTAAATGACACTCTCGGTGGTTGAGGGTCGTGTAGTAGCGAATGAGAGAGTCTAGTTGAGAGGATAAAATACACACTAGCTTATATTTCGGTATTGATCGGTATTTTGGTATACACCGATCCCAATCCCTTAATCCCTAATACCGAATAACAATTGACATTCAATCCCAATCCCAAGAAATAATACGTGTATTTGGTAATACCAAATATAGACAAATTCGGTACGGTATTCAGTATATCCCAAATACCGGTACCAAACTTCCAGCCCTAGTCATGCCTAATATTTTCGAGACCCTATTGAGTATAAGAACGAACATGACATGAAAAGAAAATTTATGTGGTAGAAAATAAATATCAAAAGGATTATAGGTCCAAATCTTAAAAAATACAAGTACAATAAAAATTATATATCATTGTTAGAAGTGATTATGAATATATATACGTAATTACTACCATAACCAAAAATAGACGAAGTATTAAACAAAGACAAAAGACACCCACTATACTTCCAATTTTATTTTCCCTCTTATTTGTGTTACATTTCTTAAACATTCTCGGTTAATACATTCATTCTCCGTCCAATTTGTTCCTTCTTTCTCATTTTCTCCTTTATTTTATTCCTTTTCATTAAACACGAATATAAGCACGACACAATTTGAATTGTGCCTGAGCCTCGGTCGGATCTAGCAAAATTAACAAATGGACTGATACGACATGACACAAAAACTGACGGATCGTACCAAGCACGACACAAAATAAACAGGCACGAAGCATGCCCATGTCGTGTCGTCCCAACAACTGCCCAGCGCCCATGTACAGTCCCTCCCCATGCTACAGCGAGTCAGATAATATCCACCCGTCGCGGATCAGATCGAGTACAACCCGATTGAGAAGGGGTCAAATTACCATCCCAAAAGGAGGATTATATAAGTGCTCAAGGAGAACTTACTTATATGTATTGTTTAATTTGATTGGCTACTAAAAAAATCTAGCAAAATATCATAAATAAATTTTAAAAAAATATATTTGACAACATCGAACTGCAAATCATTTTATTAAATTTATTACAATTTACAATAGTGTGAATCATGTTTGTCATGCTGGTGGAACGTCAACCAATTTAATCTGGTATGTCGATCTGGTCAATAAACTAGTTGTTACCATCGGTATGACATGCATGATTTCCAGCCTTTATACAAAATGATGATGTTTTAGTGAATTTAATTAATAAAAAGCTTAATTTATAATTTATTTCATGAATTTAAAAGATAAATATCGATGTTATTTATTGGATTCAAGTATTAATGTTTTGGTGTTGCCGTTAAATGTTGTATTTTTTATAGAAAAGACTTTGAACCTGTTAGGATATGACTTGGATTTGATTTGTGTTTGTTTTGTGTTTGGACCTATTTTGTTTGGGTTTGTGTTTGGGCTTTGTTTGACATTTTCCTTGTATGTTTGGGAAAAGGTGTTTGGTTTTCCGTTTGGGATTAGGAGAAGAGTTCTATAAATACTTTTCACCAGCCTAATATGTTGTAAGGTCAGTCAGGTTAGTTTGTTTGGTTTGTCCATTCCGGAATTTGGTTTGTAACATGTACTCTCCTCAAAATCAGTGAAATTATTTCTTCGCTGCGCGTGGATTAGCTAGCACACATTGTGTTAGTGAACCACATTAAATTTGTGTTCGTTCGTGTTGTTTTGGATTATCGATTGTACGCTTCTGTTCTGACAAGTGGTATCAGAGCTTTTGGTTGCGATTTTGGGAATTTGGCGTTGGACTGAAGTTTTGCTTTGTGGAGTTTGGTTGGAGTTTGTTTGATAGTGAGAATGGCTGCTATCAGTATGAAGATTGAGAAGTTTACCAGAAGAAACAATTTCAGTTTGTGGCAGATCAAGATGCAAGCAGTGTTGAAACAACAGGGTTTGTGGGGTCCGTTGTCTGAAAAATCGAAGAAGAAAAGCATAGATGAAGAATAGTGGATTACTTTGGAGGAGAAAGCTCACTCTACAATCTTGCTTAGTTTGAATGATGACATCATCATTGAGGTTGCTAATGAGAAAACTGTCGCGGGCTTGTGGTTGAAGCTTGAAAGTCTATACATGACAAAGTCTTTAACCAACAAGTTGCATATGAAGCAACGTTTGTTCAGTTTGCGTATGGAGGAAGGTACATCTCTCAGGAATCATCTAGATCAACTCAATACTATCTTGTTAGATCTGCGGAATATTGATGTTAAAGTAGATGATGAGGATGCTACCTTAATTCTGTTAGTATCTTTGCCACAGTCATATGAGAATTTTGTGGATTCTTTTTTTGCTGGAAAATATAGTTTGTCTCTGGAAGATGTCAGATCTGCTCTACATACTAGGGAGGTTCGACATAAGGCGTCTGGTTCAGGTTCGGAAAATCAGCCATCTGGGTTGGCTGCTACGAGTAGTAGGAGACAACAATTTGGTAATAGGAAGATGAATACAATTTTGAATTCTGCTGGTTTGAAGGATGATATATGTCATTACTGTAAGGAGAAAGGGCATTGGAAATTTGATTGTCCTAAGCTAAAGAAATATCAGGAGAAGAAGGAATCATCTGTTGCTGTGGCGGAAGAAACTAACTCTGATTTTGAAGATGGTTTAGCCTTAGCAGTGAATGAACAGGTACATCATCAGGATGTGTGGTATTTATATAATGCAGCTGATTATCATATGTGTCCAAGCAGGGAGTGTTTTTCAACTTATGAGCATATAGATGGAGGGCATGTTTCTATGGCCAATGGTGCTATCTGTAAGATTGTTGGAAGAGGCTCCGTTAGGATGAGAACACATGATGGTTCTGTTCGCACCTTGACCAATGTTAGGCATATTCCAGAGATGACTAAGAATTTGATATCTTTGAGTCTACTATACAGCAAGGGCTTCAGTTTCAAAGGTGAAGGTGGAGTGATATATGTCTACAAGGGTTCTAAGGTGATTTTGAAAGGTGTCAAGCGGGGTGCCTTGTATAATCTACAAGGTTATGTTTTGACATGTTCTGTTGGTGATAAGTGCACCAGGCTGGTTCTGAATGGCAAGTCTCAACATGAGTTGGATTTGCCAAATGGTTTGAGTTGTTGACCTCGTTTAGGAACATTTGGAGGCAGGGGAGATTCTGGTACAAGTGATTTGGAGGAGTTGGGTACATCTGGCAACTTTGGTTTGCGTTTGGTACATCTGGTATTTGACAGAGAATTCAAGTCAAGGTGGAGATTGTTAGGATATGACTTGAATTTGATTTGAGTTTGTTTTGTGTTTGGGCCTATTTTGTTTGTGTTTGTGTTTGGGCTTTGTTTGACCTTTTCCTTGTATGTTTGGGAAAAGGTATTTGGTTTTCCGTTTGGGATTGGGAGAAGGGTTCTATAAATACTTTTCACCACCCTAATCTGTTGTAAGGTCAGTCAGGTTAGTTTGTTTGGTTTGTCCGTTCCGGAATTTGGTTTGTAACAAGTACTCTCCTCAAAATCAGTGAAATTTGTTCTCCCCTGCCCGTGGATTAGCTAGCACACATTGTGTTAGTGAACCACGTTAAATTTGTGCTCGTTCGTGTTGGTTTTGATTATCGATTGTACGCTTATGTTCTGACAGAACCATTAATCTTTCCTTCTTACATGAGGAAGTTGATCACCTTACCACGACACCACTACCCACAATGAGTTAAATGTATTATTTAAAAATGAGTGTTATTTTGTTTGGCATGTATTTTATTTAATATAAAGTAGATTGTATGTAGATTGTTTTTAAATATCCTTTGTATATGCTTAAATTTATTTGATACTGGTGGTCTTTCACTTTTTTCTGCATATTTTATTAAATTCGTATAAATCGATTGTACTCCGGTCAAATTATACTATTTGCTAAACCGATGTAATGGTATAAACCAGTTTGACAACCTTGTTGTGAACTGTAAATATATTATTTTGAGAAACTAAAATACTTTAGTACCAGAACTAAATTGATAATGTAAAGAAAAAAGAAACGTCGTCACTCGATAAGGAAGGGATAGAGCTAAGGGTGCAAATGAGGCGAGTTTTGACCTAGTTTAGGATGTGTTTGTTAATAAACAAGTCGAGTTCGAGTTTAGATTGTTTGTTGAAACATTGGCTTTTGTTTGACTCTAGCTTAGCTCATTAATGAGCTCACGAGCTCTAATTGACCTCGACTCATCAATTAGCTCTTTAGATCGATCCAAGCTATGATATCATATCATTTAGTTCATAAGTTTTAATTGTCCATATAATGTTATTTAATAGTAATTAGTATCTGAGCAATCTATGATACATAATTGTTTTTAATTATAAATAAAAGATATTTGATCATGTGCTCAAATTCATAAACATCATATGTGGTGAGATGGTGAGTGGATAGGGTGCTAACACCCTTAAGTGTTAGCAATAGCACCTAGGGGTGGAAATCGATACGGTATCGGTATCCGTATCCCAATACCAAATATCGAAATCCCGAATACCGAATTATACCCTAAACTCAATCTCAACCCAATCCCTAAATAATTTCGATATCCCAATCCCAATCCATAAAAATTTCGGTATCCCAATCGGTACTTCGGTATCCCAAACGGTATTATCGAATACGAAATTAATTACCTTTGTAATCAAAAATTAAATATATTAGATTTTATTGTTTAATTTAGGGCAAAGAGACTAAACACAGAGTCTCGAGTTTGCCTATAGCTAGGATATGGATAAGGATAATGGAGGAGATGTTACATCTCAAGTTCTTGTAATTGGTAATCTTTAATTTGACGAAAATGGAGGTTGAGAGACGACTAATACTAGTGTTTTCTTTTTGGTGTTATGATAATAACAAGCGATATTAGGTGAGAAACGAGAGTGACTTAAATGGGAAAGTCAAATTTTAGTTGAATAGGGACTTCTGAGTTATGAAATAGGTGATGGAATGATCTATGTATAATTAAATGACACTCTTGGTGGTTGAGGGTCATGTAATAGTTAATGAGAGATTCTAGTTGAGAGGATAAAATACACACTAGCTTATATTTCGGTATTGATCGGTATTTCGGTATATACCAATCCCAATCCCGTAATCCCTAATGCCGAATAACAATTGAAACTCAATCACAATCTCAATCCCAATAAATAATATGTGTATTCTGTAATACCATATATAGACAAATTCGGTACGGTATTCGGTATATACCAAATAACGGTACCAAACTTCCAGTCCTAGTAGCACCATACTAACACATTCATTAAAGGTATTATAGTATTTTAATCATTATCCATTCTCCATTCCCTTCCACTTCCCTTCCATTCACTTTACTTTTCCATGTTTTGTTTACAAATTACAGTTTTGGTACCTAAACTTAAGTGTTGTTTGTTAATGGGATTTGGATGTTGTATTTGATCTTCAAATACCAACCATCATGTTTTTTTGTCCAAAGTCATTTTTTGGACCATTTTTTTAGCTCCAAATCCGTGGACCCCAAGTATTTGCAAATACCACATTATGGAAGGAAAATTTTTTAGACCCAAATACCAAATAAGTTAAATACATGAGGAAATTCAACTAAACAAACAATGTTATCTTTTAAATACAAAATGCAACAAATAACCTAGTCTATGAGTTGAGCTTACTTGTTAGATATACTGTCGAGCCAACTCATAGCTCCAAACGACCTAGTTTATAAGTTAGTTTAACAAGCCATTAAGTCATGCTCACTAGCTAATTTTTCATGCCCAACAAAACTTTGCTTAGCTAAAGTTATTAGTAAACGAGTGAAATTCAACTAAACAAACAATGTTATCTTTCAAATACAAAATGCAACAAACTACCTAGTCTATGAGTTGAGCTTACTTGTTAGATATACTGTCGAGCCATCTCATAGCTCCAAACGACCTAGTTTATAAGTTAGTTTAACAAGCCATTAAGTCATGCTCACTAGTAGGCCTGGCGGACGGTTTTTCGGTTAGCGGCTAACCGGTCGGTTTCAACTGAACCGACCGGTTTTCGGCTAGCCGAAAAACCGATTCCGAAGAGGACGGTTGGTTGGCGGTAGAGGAAATCAGGGGTCCGGTTAGCCGACTAATCGGGGTCGGAAACCGGCGGTTAACCGGCTAACCGACCCCTGCCCTTTCCCCTTAAACGACGCCGCCCCACTCGAACCCTAGCAGCCAGCAGGCCCGCCTCCAACCTCGCAGTCGCTCGCAGCCTCCTCCCAAATTCCCAATTCCAAAATCAGTCGCAACCTCCACCCTTCTCGCCTTCCCCGACCAGCCCTTCCCCCCTCCACCATCGACTCCCTCCTCCTCCAGTCCTTCCTCCCAAATCCATCGCCGCTCCGCCCTCCACCTCGTCCAGTCCTTCCTCCTCCGTCCAGACGACGACGTCGCTGTTGAAGGCGGATTCGCCGCCGCCTCCCCCCAATCCCTTAATTGCGCAATCCCCGCCGCCGCCACTCCTGACCTAGCCGCCAACGATTCAATTCTAGGTCAGTGCGTAAAAGAGAGAGGAGAGAAGGAGAAGAAGAAGTTTGTTTCTACGTAAAAGAGAAGGAGAGAACAGGAAGGAGAGAAGTAGCGTAGGAGAGAAGAGGAAGAAGATAAAGAATGTGTGGCTTCGATTTTTTTTCTGTATTTCTTTCAAAATTTTTTTTAATTTTTTAATCTCTTGTTAGAAGAGGTCGGTTTTGGGCGGTTGTCGGTCGGTTAGACCATTGAACCGAACCACCCATCAATCTGTCGGTTGCCCCGGTTAAACCGCGCTTGAACTGAAAACCGCCCTGTCGGTTTGCGGCTAACTGGGGCTCTGGGGTCGGTCGGTGGACGGTAGCTTCTGGTCAGGTCTCGGTTTAACCGAAAACCACCGGTCGCCAGCCCTAATCACTAGCTAATTTTTCATGCCCAACAAAACTTTGCTTAGCTGAAGTTATTAGGGGTCGTTTGCTTCAAGGATTTGGTACATGGATTTGGTACAAAAAAACCAACTATCAAGGATTAGGTACAATCCGTTGTTTGCTTGCACATTTTTTGGAGACCAAATCCGTGGGGCCCACGGATTTTAATGGTCCAAATCCGTGGACCCCACGGACTTATAAATCCCACATGTTGATGTGGGATTTGGAATATGGCATAAATCCTTGATGAGATTTTACCCATATACCCTCATGCACTTTTAATATTCCAAGGTTGCCCTCAAATTTTAATATTATACATTATAATTAAAAATAAATGAATAATATAAACGTTCAATTAATGTGCAAACATGAGTTAGATTTTTTATATAATTTCTTGTGTTCTAGTTTTCTTTGACCTTTTCATGGAACGTGTAATTCTTTGTTCTCCCGATTCTTATATATGTTGTTATATGTCACTTTTGAAAAGGAGGACAAAGAATTGGTAATTGATTATGTTACGTTAAAAGTTAAAACGAAATTTTCTCGTTTATTATTATTGTCCATGTGGCAACATTATGCTTATTAGTATGTATTGTCCTTGTTTTGTGTACATATCATAAACATGTCAAACATATAGAAAATGATAGTAAGGTAATTTTGAAGTTTTGTCCTTGTTTTGTGTACATATCATAAACATGTCAAACGTATAGAAAAGGGCAGTAATGTAATTTTTGAATTCAAGTAGTAAATCTCATACCTTTAAATTCATGATAAAAACATCCCAACAAACAAAGGATTGTTACAAATCCATGATGCTTCAAATCCTTGATGAATCCTTGGGTTTTTAAATTACAAAACCCTCATTTTTAAATCCATGAAACAAACGACCCCTTAGTAACCGAGTGAAGTGTAAAACTCAAACGACATTTTCCACACTCGAACAGCCGAACACAAGCCGCTCGTTCGGGAGGAGTTTGGCTGATTTGCGTTCTAGACAAAGTAAGTTTCAATCTCCATTTCCATTTTCCGGCGCTCCCAAATCCCAAAAGCTTGAAAGAAAGCTGACTCACTGGGAAGAGAAGAGATGCTCATCAATGGCGGGCTTCAGCTCCTCGCTGCTCCGCCACCGTCGAATCCCTCCCTTCGGAAGAACAAACCTTCCTTCAACTGCATCGGCCAAATCTCCACCGCCGCCCCGACCGCCGACGCCGGCCTTCTCTTCCGGGAAAAGCTAATCTACCTCGCTCACCTCAAAATCGACACCAGAAAGGCCCTGACTCAGAATCCGAATCTCCGGTCGACTCCCCTCTCCGCCCTCCACTCTATCGAGCGCTGCCTCGCCTCCATGGGCCTCCACCGTGCCGCCGTGGGCAGAATCCTTGACATGTATCCTAGACTCCTCACCTCCGACCCTTACCTAGACATTTATCCAATCTTTGATTTCCTTCTCAACGAGGTAGGAATCCCTTTCCCTGAGATCTCCAAGTCGATTTCACGGTGCCCTAGAATCTTAGTTTGTAGCGTGGAAGCCCAGTTGCGGCCGGCGCTTGAATTCCTCCAGTCGTTAGGGTTTGTCGGTAGGAACGCAATTACTGCCCACACCACGGTATTGCTTGTTTACAATATTGAAATTACTCTGAAGGGCAAGCTTGAGTACATGAAAAGTTTGGGTTTTGAGGAGAGCGAGGTGAGGAAGATGGTGGTCAGGTCGCCCGGGATTTTGACGTTTAGCATAGAGAATAATCTCGTGCCGAAAATTGAGTACTTCCAGACGGTAATGAAGGGTGATTTAGAGGAACTGAAGAGATTTCCTCAGTATTTTTCGTTTAGTTTGGAAGGTAAGATCAAGCCCAGGCACAGAATGTTGGTGCAGTATGGGCTTAAGCTCCCGTTATCGAATATGTTGAAGGTTAGCGATGGGGATTTCATTGCAATGTTGATGGAGATGAGGCTGGGAAGAGCTAAGCAGGAGGTAGATCGATGGAAGTAAAAGCAAGCAAGTAAGGTCATCCTATTTGTTGAGTTTCAGTTTTATGCTCTCTTGTTGGATTGGGAATTGGTGATCATCATGACGAATTCTAGCTGTGATTTTTAAAATCTGTTCTTAGTTATACAGACAGCTCAACCACAATACATGAGGTATCAGCACCAATTCTAAGTTGCTGTTTTCAAATTGGGGCAGGCTGAGCTCTTAATTTCAACTCTAAAGGCTTGTTTCTTATTTTTGAGGATGATTCAATATTTGTGTGCAATGGACATCAAAAGTTGTTGTTTGCAAGAGCGTGATGGCTTGTTTTCTATACAAATGCAATTTTTTTGCAAGAAATTATATGTTGTCCCTGTAGCGTTAGCATCCCTATCATTTTTTGGAAACTTGTTATACTGATCCCTAATGTAGAATTTCCTTAGGTGACTGAATCCAGGTGCATCTAGGGACTGCACAGTCTATCATTCCATATGCACAGTCAACAACCAAGATTGTTGTTGCTCTACAAGCTCACTTGGGCTTACACTTTTGTCACACCTTTGAGCATGTTGAAGAGGTAAAAGCTAGATTCTGAACCCCTTGAATTAAGTACTTTTTGTTGATCTAAACTTTTGTGTTGTCGCATTTCTATCATTGATGGATAAGGTCTAAGATTGTGTTAGTAAAGTATTATTTCAGAAGCAAAATTATACTTGTGCATTAGAAATGTTTGTTGAGGTTATCTATGTAACAAAGCCCCTAATGACGGTGATTACCGGTTTCTGCTGGCGAGGAATTCGAAAAAATCCATATTTCTGTGCACTAGATCCCGTGTACAGTGAGTCTTATTCCACTGATGCAACGATTAATAGATGGCCCTTAACCGAAACTTGTGCATATTGTTTCTGTGATGTTACACCTATATTATAACCATTCCAATAAGTATCCTTTCTGTTTTCATCCCTTAAAGTATTGGTTTGTCCTGCGGCATTCCACTACTACTAGAAAATGTTATCTGGTATTCCGTAGAGATTGGTATCTTGTTTAAGCAACGAGCTGGGTTACCTGGTAACCTTGGAATATGTTGTTAGATCTTTCTACCCTTCTTGCCAACTAAGTCCCTGATGCTTTCTTCTCATGGGAATATCCATTAATCATATTCTTCTTGGTTATGATTTGATGAATGGCCAGCGAAAGGAAATAAATTGAACTTCATTTTGTTCTCTACAGGTACCCATATCTCGTTGAGATGCCATAGGAGCTGTGCGAAATTTGATAGGAAATGGAAGAAGTTGGTTCTGGAACAGGGACATCAGCAAGATTTGCTTGGAACGTTATGGTTTCTGGATTACGGAGCAGTGTGAAATTCACAAGACTGTTGACTGTGCCCTAAGCACAAAGCTTTGCGGTGGTGATGTGACTCGGAGTTCTGAAGGGCATCGAAGCACGTTTCGTCCAAGCAAGATTTGCTTGGAACCATATGGTTTCTGGATTACACGCTTTGAAGACACATATTGCAGCCTGTGATGAACCTTCTGATGATTGTTTGATCAATCCCCTTTTATCCAGACGCGTGAAACTTTATGATAAGTTGTCTCTGTCAAGATGAAATTTCCGACCGAGAGCAATGGTACGGCCAGCCTCTGATTGAGGCTCTATAAAATCGTAAACGGAGAGTCGAGGTTGACGCTCCGGCCATGCCGTCAACGATTAAGTAGGCGTGATTCTGGTGAATGTAGAGAAAGAAAGTTGGAGAAAGTTTAGGGAAATGTGAAGATTTAAGTTATCTAGTGGAAAGAGTTGTAGGTCTCCTTCCTCAGATGCCTGGAAGTCTTGCCCTTGCCCTGGGGGCTCAGAGGATGAGAATACATGCATAAAAACGTTAAGAGTGTACTAGGGGTATGAGCTATCCGTCAAGTAGGCATTTACGGGTGGAATAGGATAGCAAAAAATTTGCAGATCGAATAAGGTTTGACGTTTGAGTAATAACACTTTCAACATATTTATATCCAATATTAGTTTTAATCAAGTTTTTATTGTTTAAATTAAAACTAATTCCAAAATCAAAATCAACTAATGGGAGCGGCCGCTAGGGGTAGGCATCGGTCGATTCGGTTCAAGAGCGGACCAAACTTTCCTCGGACTGGACCATAATTTTTTCTAAATCAAGGACCAAAGTCGAATCGTTATTACTTCGATTCGGTCTGCATCAAACCATATATGGCTCGGTTCGATCTGGACCATCTCATTGGACCAACTAATTTTTCATTCAAATAAGGGTTATAGGTATAATACGCCCCTCTACTATGACGTTTTATCAACATGCCCCTTTACTATTTTTTACATCAAACATGCCCATGTACTTTGTAAAAATGATCAAACATGCCCTTTTGTTAAAATTTTAATCCAAAAATCGTTAACCAACGCCGAACTTTAGTTTGGGCGACACAAATGACTAAAATATCACTAATAAATTCACTTTAGAATCTTTTTGGTTCTATTGTATAATCAAATCATTCAAATAATTTCACTTTGAAAAGACCAAAGGAAATAAAACAAGGGACAAAACTGACATTTTCCCTCCCATTTGTCGATGTTGGGTCGTCTAAATCTCAATTCAACCATGATCGACGATTTTTTCAATGAAATTTTTAACAGAAGGGCATGTTTGATAAATTTTTCAAAGTACAGGGGCATATTTTATGTAAAAATAGTAGAGGGGCATGTTTGATATAACGTCATAGTAGAGGGGCATATTATACCTATAACCCTTCAAATAAAATCACTCTTAAAGGACAACACAAGAATTTAAAAAAATGTAACTACACAAAAAGAAGTAATCAAATTATCCCAATTTAAATACTCCACAATTCTTAAAAAACCACATGTTCCAAAATATTGTGCAAAAAGCTAAACGAGAATTACTATTTAAACTGAAAGACAAAAATATTCTTATTCAATCTCAAAGGTAGGGGTGTTCAAACGGATTGGTTACCGTGATAACCATATTAACCAGTAGCATTCAGTTAATTTGGTTTGGATAATTTGAATAATTGGTTTGGTTGGTTAAACAATTTAGCTTATTTGGTTTATAGGTGGTTTGGTTTCAACACTCCTAACTAATGAAACCAATTAATGATACACGTAATATACAAAATTATTTATACTTCCATGCAACCCACCAAACCAAACTTTCGTGATTCCCTATTTTATTTTGGGTTATAGGTATAATATGCCCCTCTACTATGACGTTCTATCAAACATGCCCCTCTATTATTTTTTACATCAAACATGCCCCTGTACTTTGAAAAAATTATCAAACATGTCCTTCTATTAAAATTTCGATTGAAAAAATCGTCAATCATGGTTGAACCGATATTTAGACGACCCGACATCGGCAAATGGGAGGGAAAATGATAGTTTTGTCCCCCGTTTCATTCCTCTAGGTCTCTTCCAGTGAAATTATTTGAATTATTTAGCTATACAAAATAACCAAAATAAATTCTAAAGTGAAATTATTAGGGATATTTTAGACATTTGTGTCGCCCAAACAAAAGTTCGGCCATGGTTAATGGTTTTTGGATGAAAATTTTAACAAAAGGGCATGTTTGATCATTTTTACAAAGTACAAGGGCATGTTTGATGTAAAAAATAGTAGAGGGGCATGTTTGATAAAACATCATAGTAGAAGGGCATATTATACCTATAACCCTTTTATTTTCATGTGCACAACAAGCCAAAGCATTATGTGTCAAAAATTAAATGGGTCTGCTTATTGACTAAACCAAAACATAATGGACAGCTACTAGACTTTATGATTACGTATAGTACCATGACAGTCACCTCCAACTATGTATAGTTTAAGTGTTTTGTAGGAGAGCCTTAACTTCCTAATGAGTGGTATTGGTATGTATTTAATATGAGCACTTCTACTATGCTCTAAAGTATGGGTGTTTTAATGTACAACTTGAAGTTATACCATAACGTTAAATGTATAAGTTCAAGTTGTACCATAAAGGAATTTGTACCCTTATGTTATGGTACAACTTTACAACTTAAAGTTGTACCATCACATAAATGTACAAGTTCAAGTTGTACCATGAAAGAATTTGTACAAAAAAGTATAGGTACAATCTAAAGTTGTACCATAACGTTAAACGTATAACTTCAAGTTATACAATAAAGGCAAAAACTTATAGCACCAATTCTATATAGCATAGTAAAATTTCTCATTTAATATTGGATAAAGTCTATTTTTTACCCAAACCTTTTTCAGATTCTTTTATTTTATCAAAACTTATTGAAATACTATTTATTAACCATCCGTTAACTTTCCTTCCTAAGTCTATTAACTTTGTTGACATGGCGTTGATGTGGCCCTGCCATTGTGTTGACGTGGCAAACTCCAAAGGAAGAGAACATCTCATCTCTCTTCTACCTCCTCCTCCTCCGACCACCGCCGCCGCCATGACATGAAACCCTTTCCATGCATTTACCCAAATCCCCATCTCTATCATCGCCCTCCTCCTCAACTGCTTGGCATTCACCACCGCCACCACAAATGGGGGAGAGTTTTGATTGAGATACTAGAAAAAGATTCAATTCTCGAATCGAACTCACAAATGGTAGACAACCCTCCACCGGCAATCGTCAGAGATCATATTGTTGCTGGCTTCGAACACAACTAGCCCTTTCCAATTCGCGACTCCGTTGGGTAATGGCCTTGAAAACCTGTTGTTGTTAATCTCCAATCTCGAAAAGTTCCAAGTTATGGAGATCGGGAGTGCGTCGGAGAACGAATTGGCGCTCAACATTAAGTATTGTCATGTTGACCGCCGTCCATATCCCCGACAGCACCTCCCCTGAAAAATTGTTGTCGTAGATATGAACCGTTCTCAAGAGTCCCACAATCCCCAATCGAACTAGGAACTAACAGGAACTAAATCCCTAAATTTCGACTGCAACGGTCAACTCGGTTCAAAGCTTGAAGAAGGAGATCGATCCTACAACGTTTTAGGTGGCTAACATTTTAAGCTTATGCGACGACGTTTACACCTTCTTCTTGGCCTGTTTTACTTTTCGTCCAAGCTTTCCTTTTGTTTCCTCTCCAAGCTTAAGGACAAATTGTACTCCATATTGTCATCTTCTGTAAGTCTCTTTGCCTATAAAAGGCAGAACAAGTGAATGAGAACATCAAGTTTTTAGGGTTTCAACCCACATTTCAGATCTGTTTTCATGGTATCAGAGCCTTAGGGCGCCGCCATGGCTACATCCTAACCACCAAATGATGCTGCACCATTTGGTGATCTCTCTTCTACTCCCTATCCTATGGAAGACCCATACTTCCTTCACGGCTCTGAGCAGCATGGTTCTCTTCTTGTCAGCGAGAAACTCACAGCAACCAACTACAACGACTGGAGCCGCGCGATGTTCAATGCCCTTGCAGCAAAAAACAAGCTCGGTTTCCTCAATGGTGCTATTCCTGAACCTGCTGAAATAGATCCAAAAAGAAATGCTTGGGTCAGGAAAAACATTATGATCCTCAGTTGGATCCAACAGGCTGTGGAATCTGAAATCAGAAAGACCATTCTATCCAGCAAATCAGCAGCAGAGGCATGGAAAAGTTTGCAAACAAGGTATGGCTCTGGAGACATTGTTCGAGTTGCAGAAATAGAAAAAGAACTCTGTAGCTTAAAGCAAGGTACACAAACTATCACTGAGTATTACAGCAAGGTAATTACTCTTCGTGATGAACTTGATAACTACCAACCTTTGATCCCTTGTGCTTGTACAACCACAAGTCACAATACCTGTCCAGCTATGAAATTAGTCCATGAATATCAAGAGACTAGTTATGTCATTAAGTTCTTGCGTGGTTTAAACGAGAACTTCTCTGCTGTTAGATCCCAAGTTCTGTTTAGGGATGCTTTACCAGACATCAATAGGGTCTTCCAAAGAATGCTCCAAAATGAACGACAGTTATATGGCACACAACGTGCTAAACTCATTGCTTCTGTCACTACTGATGGTTCTGCTCTGGCTATTCAAGGGGTTAACAGACGCCCTAACTCCACTCAAAAGAGACCCTACTGCGTTTTTTGCAAAAGAGATGGTCATACTGAGGATGTTTGCTTTGTCAAACATGGATATCCACCAGGCATGTCTGCCAGACCATCTCCCTCAAGTCAACAGGGCACCATCATTGAATGTACTTACTGTGGCAAGCATGGTCATCTTGAGGAGAAATGCTTTAAGAAACATGGTTTCCCTGCCAACTATGTTCCCAGAACTACTACTACATCTTATGGTAGGGGCAGGGGTTATGCTAATTCTGTTGTGTCTACTCATGATGATCCTGTCAAGCTGACCAAGGCTGATTATGATAAGCTTATGGCCCTGGTTGGCAACTCTAAACAGCACCCTCCTCACACTGCTGCTGCTTTCACTAACACTTATGCTCCTTCATGTACATGTTTTTTATCTGCTCCATCCACCCACATAAATCCCAACCACAGTTTCACCTGGATTCTTGACACAGGTGCTTCTGATCATATAGTTTCATGCCTAGACTACTTAGTCAATCCTATTCCTGTTTCTGGGATCTACATAACCCTTCCTACTGGTCAACAAGTCCCAGCCACTTACAAAGGCACAGTTCATTGCACTAATGAGCTAACTCTTCAGGATGCACTCTTTGTTCCTGGTTTCAGTTTTAATTTGGTCTCAGTGAGCAAGCTCACTGCTCATAACTCTTTAAGCTCAACATTCCACTCCAACCTTTGTGTCATACAGGATCTGGAGCAGAAGAAAGTGACTGGTTCTGCTAGATTGACAAATGGACTTTACTACCTAGAGGACACTAGTAATCCTAAGATCTTCACAAT